CCCTTCCCTGCACTGCCAATGTACGTGTATTCCCTTAATCGCATACCACTATGCATAGCCCACCCAACACATCTCGAACTCATCAAAACACTCTCCACATTTAGCGGACCTCACACAACCACCGCTGAAAAGCCAAGGCACGCATTAACCTGCACCAACGCCGGTGATACTGATACGCCTAGTACTATAATAGCACAATTCAGGCGCCGGAACACACATTTTTTAACCATATTTCGCAGTACTCACCGGCATGTTTACGACTGCTGGTGCGCAGCGACCGGAAAGAACGTTTTCCGGCAGCGGTGCCTGAAACGAAAATAATATTTGTTAGACTTCTCCTCATGATCGTCACCACTAAAACGCTAAAGAGGTGCTTACAGGCCTAAGCCCTCGGAAATTGTAATAAACATTCAGATTTTATAAATAGGTAAATTTCATCATCAGAAAGCCGCACCACCACTCAATGATTCCAGAAGACTAGGACAGTTAGGCTCGTCGACGGTCCTTATAACATCGCGACATGTACAACGATACGCTTTGCATTGCACAACGTTGGCGGAATGATCCGGGCGCCAAGTCGAATAATCGATGCACTGGCAGTCAGTGACACGGCCACATTTTTGAACAACAGGGGACCTGATCGGGTCATCAGAATCCTTGCAGCTAAGGGGTCGTCTCCATTGCTTATGGGCCTTGTTTGCTTGTGTTTTTTTTTTTGCATTCAGGAGACATTCCTGAATGAACGGGGTCCAGTTTTGATGCATGGAGGGCATGTTTTTCTGTTTAAGAGAGCTGGGGCGGATCCAGATGGGTGGGGGCACGGGACCATACCACCCTTGGGCCCCGAAGGGACCCATTGGTTTCGAAGGGACTCATAGCTGGCCGAACACGTGGAGTTTTTAACATCAAAAGCAACAAAATTGGGCGTTTTTGGACTTGCAGGCGACCAACAACAGTCGCAAGCGAAAATAAAGGGCCCACGAGTGGACACAAGCAAAACTTCAATGATCGAAAAGCTCTTATTTGGGAATGTTCAGCCTCATGACGCTGTTCTGGTGCCCCATGTCGTTTCCGAGGACCTGTATGCCCACTTGCAGTGTCATTCTCATCGTTAAGCAGCCTTCCACTTTGCCGTTGACTTTTAGCATTTGCTCGGAGGCCCTGCGTTTTTGCTAGGCCCTACCTGCTAGCGTGCCGGAGCGCTCTTGTTAATCAGGGGCCTTCCACAGATTCTTTTCATTCGCCAGAAGAGCCATGCACGCTATAACTGGGGCCCCATATCTGAACCTGCCGGGGTATTCTCTGTTGCCCAGGCGCCCTTTACGTCGGTCTCGGTTAACCTTCCGACACACTCGCGATATACTCATGGGCCCTCAGCATTGATCTAGGGCGTTACCAATTCTCTGTGACTTGCTTAGGGCCATACACTGTTATCTAGCGCCCATGTGTTAATCTCCCTGGGCACATCGGTCGTTCGGGGCACACCAAGTTGGGTCTTGGGTGCTTTCTTTTTTAATGGAGGGCCCTACACACTTGTCGGGGCCCGATCTGTTAACCTGCTCAGGTGCACTTCATCTTTCGGGGGCTCTCCGCACTGGGTTTTGGGTACTTCTTATTTGAACGGAGGGCCTTGTGCTCTGTTCGAGTCACTTCTGGTAACCTGCTGGGACACATTGGGTCATTGGGGGACCTCCACACCGAGTCTTGGCTGCGGGGCGTATCCAGGATTTCGTCAAGGGGAGGCCACGCAATATTGTGAGGCCCCCTGGAGTTTGGGGCCCCCCTCCAAAAAATATCCTTGCATTTTGGTCATTACATTTTAAGACAAGTCGTATAACACAACACACACACACACACACCACACACACACACACACACACACACACACACACACCACCCACACCACACACACCCACACACACACACACACACACACACACACACCAACACACACACCACACACACACCACACACACACACACACACACACACACACCCTCTCTACTCTATCTCTCTCCTCTCTCTCTCTCTCTCTCCTCCTCTCTCTCTCTCTCTCTCATCTCGGTCCCTATCTCTCCTCTCTCTCTCTCATAGCGCCTCTCGGGCGCGGTGGATAGCTGTCTGTGTTGTCGACTTTTGTCCGTTTTTGTCATAAATATGGAAATCCATCTCACTGTCCACGGCCTCATAAAGCTAAGCGTGCTACGCACGCATACACGTAGAACTGATTCACCTTCTACAGATCATGTTAAATTGCTGTGATTTGGGGTTAAGTGTTTCCGGAATAACAGGCAAAATAAGCTTGAGTTAGCTGCTAACAACCGTCAAACTAAGCATGGACTTGATTCCTAGCTTATGTTTTGACGGCTAGCCGGCTGGGCAAGCCGGCCAAGCAGCCATGTAATCAGCCGATGGCTGATGACTAGTGCAGGATTTTTCCTCTGTTAGAAATGAGCACAAACATATCCTAGCATTCGAATATGTTAAAACGTGGTGCACTAGTATGATAGATGTCACACACTCAATAGCTATTAAATGACACATGCGACGTCGGCGGCATGTCAAATTACGTTCGGCAATTGCGCGTAAACATCAGCGTCTATTCGGCCCACTGCTTTGAGGCGAAGGCACCAAGGCCAATAGGGACGAAACCTGAGTGATCATGGGTGCCGCAAGAGGCCAACAAAGTGGCTCCCGTGAACAAGTATAGGGTCCACAGAGCAAGCAAAAAGAACCCAAGACCAACGTGGTGGGCCCATGAACGACTGTTAGTGCCTCGACAGGCTGACATATAAAGCACCGGCCAGAGCACAGAACCCCTGAGCGAAGGAGAATTATCCAAGACCATGAATTAATAACTCCCGTGTGATCAAGAGTGCACGGGCGGGTTAACCACGCGAGCCTCGATAGGAGTGAAGAGTCCTCCGCAAATGAGACAAAAGGGAGAGAGAGAGCCCTCGATCAAAGTAGATGGCCCCTGAGCATCGAGTGTCTTCGTGCCTTACATTATAAAAGCCATAGCAACAGCATTAGGCCCTCCAAGCGGAATAGGAGCCCGAGACTTAAATGAAGGGCCCCTGAGCAACTGAGTGTACCCTGGCATATGTGGCCTGGCAAAGGCGTAAAGAGCCTCTCGGGCGAATTGGGACAACCCGCGAAGGAAAACCTGATCGATCAACAGTGCGCAGGCATGGACGCAGATAGCGTCCCACCAGTACATTGGGGCCATTCGAGAAAATGCAAAGAGATAAAGGGCAACGTGGAAAGCTCCTTAGCGATCAGACTGATCCGCCAAGTGGACATATGGGTCAAGAAACCAAGCGTGTAATGAGCCCCAAAATTTCCCCCAAGCAACACTTTCTCAATCAGCAAAAACTGAACTTGGTCGGCTTATGAACTCTTTACTTTTGCTAATAATTGTTCTTGGATCGTCTGCATGCGCAAAAGGCTTCCAATTTTGTTTTGTTTTTGTTGTAAGAAAACTTCGTCCGTTCGGCCGGTTATGGGCCCCTTCGGAGCCTTTAGGTCCCCTCGGCATGGTCCATGGGGCATGGTTCCGTGCCCCTCCCCCCCCCCCCCCCTGCGTCCGCCACCGGCCCGAGCAGCTTAATAGATGGGCCCGCCAAGAACATAGAGCCATCCATCCAAAAATAAATATTCACGACACAATGTGTAGGGCTCTGAATGATCGAGTGCGCCAGAGCAGATTAACATATAGGGACCCCCATCAAGAGCGTAGAGCCCTCCATTTAAAAAGGAAGTACCCAGGACCCAATGAAGAGGGCCCCCGAATGATCGAGTGTGCCCGAGCAGGCTAACAGATAAGGTTTCCAATGAGAGCGTAGGGTCCTCCGTTCAAACAGGAAGCATTCAAGACCCAGTGCAGAGGACCCCGAATAATCCAGTGCGTTAGAGCAGGATAACATATAGGGCCCCCGTCAAGAGCATAGGACCCTCTTTTCAAATAGGAAGTACCCAAAACCCAATGAAGAGAGCCTCGAATGATCGAGTGTGCGCAGGTTAACAAATAGGGCCCCAACAAGAGCGTAGGGCTCTCCATTCGAAATGGAAAGCAATGACGAACCCATGTGAATGGCCCTACAACGATAGAATGTGCCCAAGCAGCTTATCAGAAGGGGCCAAAGAAGAACGCAGGGCCCTCCATTCGAATAAAACGTACCCGAAACCCCCTGGGGACGGCCCCCGAAAGATAAAGCATACCCTAGCAGACTATCAGGTGGCCCAGACAAGATTGAAGGGCCCTAGATTCAAACACCAAGACCCAATGTGCAGGGCCCCTGGGCAATTCAGTGTGACCGAAGCGGCGAACAGATGGCGTCCCCGACAAGTATGCAGGACCCTCCATTCAGATAGGAAGTACCCAAGACACTATGTGGAGGGCCCCCGGATATTCGAGTGTGCCCGAGCAGGTTAACAGATGGGGCGCCGGCAAGAGCTTACGGCATTCCGTTCAAATATGAAATACACACGACACACGACATACGTAGAGGGCCCGAATAATCGAGTGCGCCAGGGCGGGTTAACAGATAGGGTCCT